ACCTTTTCACATAATTGCACATTGTATTCTAACAACATTGTCTCCTAAATTAAGATTAACAGTGTATCATTAAGACAGAAAAATGGACATTCTCAAGAAGCTTAGAACTAGAAAATTGAGGAAGTAATATATGTTTAATTCAATGGAGGGGGATAATCTTACCTTTACTTTTAGTTGTTGTATCTGCTTCTTAAATAACTGGTCCTATAATATAGGACATAACATGTTTAGTCTACATACTTTCATGCAAGCAAGCACAATTTTTAAGAATTGTCTAGCAATTGTATGTGAGTAGATGCATGGCACAATGAAGAATCTAGTCAATGATATGAGGAATGTCAAGTCAAAATCTCTTGCATGTAGGTAAATGGCACAAGGAAGAATCTATTACAGGGGACATTAGAGACTCTAGTCCCACATCACGCATCGGAGGAGATTTTGGACCACTTAAATGGTTAGAAGAATGTGAGTTGCCGCTCTATCTATGAGTATGACTTAAGGAGAAGGCGAGTCTAACGAAATCCGGCAGTTGTATATCTATAAAGGGTCCAACGATGGTGCAAATACTATAAATATGCCGAAAAACCCGTTTGACAGTAAGCCAAATGCCAATTTTCCTTTCAAAGCTGAAATCTTGTAATCATGTATTGATTCATTAATATTAACTACTTTTAGCCTAAATGTAAATCTGAACGTTGCAAAACTTTCTTGCCCTGATGTTTTCAAGCTTTGTTCTAGCTGGCTACCAATCTCTTGAAGTTCCTCAACAGAACATGACCCTAATCCTTGACCCAACAACTTCCCGTATGATACAAAAATTTCAAACTTTAGAAATCCATTCACCTGGATGAGATGAAGTAACATGCCATAAACATTAAATCATTGAACCTTTTAGAAACTTCCAGGAACTCAATCTTCTAAAACATCTTTGTTGTTTCAATCGTCAAGTGCTGAACTTTGAAGTTTTTTTGAGGAAACCGAAAGTATTGTTACCAGCTTTAGGCTAGTAATTTGTTATAACTCATGAAGAAAGTAGTTTGATGACCGCAATGACGATTTAATGTAGATTATATATAGAGAAATCAAATCATATGTATCAAAGAATCAACCCACCAAATCTAGTTAATACCAAAGATTGCATGGATTTGATTAATAATTGGAATGATTTGCTGAAATTGATGGAGTATTATAACCAAGTTTTGGATGCCCCTCGGCAACTTGTTTATAGGTCACCAGAGCTAGTTCAAATTCAGGCTACTTTATTTGACAAATTATATCCTAAAGAGGGAGAGAAAGATTCTGTAGGTTTGGATACCTTCTACATCTGGTATCTTCAAGACAGGAGCAACTTGGCATTGGATTAGAGAAAAACAGAGAAAGCAACCTTAGTACAAGCTAATTTGGTTCTCTGATGCAATTCCTAAGCACAGTTTCATAAGTTGGCTAGCTACCCTTAACAGACTCACAACCAAGGCTCACCAGAAATAGTGGACACAGTGTTGATGACACCTGTGTTTTATGTAAGTTTGACCTAGAAACAACAAGTCAACATTTGTTTAAGTGTGGATCGATACTCAACAGGTGTTTGGCAGGAACTTAGCCACGTGACAAACATCCCTTTGCCAGACTCATGGCAGGATTTATTAGCCTGGCTTGGCAAGAAAGTTCGAAGGAAGTCTCTACATAATACTTTAATCAAGCTATCTTTGAACGCTGCTATATATCATATATGGATAGAGCATAATTGAAGAATTCATACGCAATGTTTTAGAACTGAAGCAGCACTGCTTGCAAAAATTCAGTTTGAAGTTAGATGCAAAATTTTGAGTTTTACTCATCCACATTCATCCCTTTAACCTAGAACTACCGCAATAAAATGGTGGCTTGAGGTTGTTGTAAAGAATTAGTGCAGCATTTCAAACATTAATGTTGTTCATGTAGTCATTTTTTCTTGTAGCAGCTTTTCTGCTGCTTTGATGTACTGCTAGTCCTTATGGATAAATAAATTCAAATTTTATCCAAGAAAAATAATAATAAGCACTTGTCTGAGCTTTGAAACTCTTTACTTCCTAAATCTTGAATTTAGAGTCCGAAAATTGCAATTTAACTACAAATGGTTTGAGGTAAGTCAACATAAGGATTGAAATTTTGGTTAATTGCAGATAAAGGCCTAAGATATCAAAATGTGCACATAAACACCAAGGATTTGCATATGGTTTGAATAACCACTTGAAATTTTTTAAAGGTCCCTAATTTTAAAAGAAGAAAAAGAAAAGAAAAATAAGGATATTTATTACAATTGATGTGACTTCAAGTGATTATGTGCATCTAATACAAGACTCAAGTCCTTATTTGCACATCTTCAAATCTCAGGTCTTTATGTGTACTCATCTTAAATCACAAGTATCTTA